TCAAATATAATAATTTTATCTTAATACAATTAAATTATATTATCCTATTCTTATTAGATTTCAAGAGCTGCTCAACATAACAAACAAGTTTAACAAAATTAAACTTAGTCAAACTACCATTGAAGAGAATCGGGACTAGCATAACACATATTTTTCCACTCAAACCATTTTCAGTCGTTTATTGCAGCTTATGAGATGATTGAGCAGGGTCTTGCTGCGAAGTTGGCATTATCAGTAATAATGGGACATCGACACGACCGACTGTTTTTGTTCTACTGATTAAGTGACTGTTCTTTTTCTATGTAGAGACATCACGGGCACCATTCGCCATAGATAAACAGTAGGAATTGCGTGTCAAAGTTGGCTGCAGGAAGTTGGTTCTGGCTTTCCTGGTCATTTGTCACTCTCACTACCCAGCCCACAGACCACGTAGCAATAATAATGGAGCCCGATTCCAAATCGAAAAGCAGGCCAAGACTTGGAAAGTCTACCAAATATCACCCTTGTAGATCTTCCAGATTCTCCTCTTACATTGTACCATAATTGACCCCTGCGTATACGTTGGGGCGAAATAAAAGAGTATTTATTTGGCTGGAGAGAAAACTTCATGAGTTGGATTTGTTAGTACTAAAGGGAGTGTTTGCAAAAATATATATACATAAAAGTATTTTGTTGTTGTAATGTTAACCACAAAGTAAAAGATTGTTATATGGTTGTTCACTAATTTGTATATTTATTTCCAGTCACTTTACGAAAAGTTAATATTTATGAACAAAATTAGAATAAAATATGAACTATTATGTATCATATTGTACCTAACTATAAAAGCTATTAAAGTAATTTTGCAACTTAAGTAGTTTCAACTAAATTTAATAAGTAGTAGATTATAATGATTTTATCAATGTATTCCCAACAATACAGTTATGTATTAACTTAGTTAAATACGGAATAACCTATTTTTCATAATAAAAAAAAACAAAGTTGAAAAAATTAAATAAATATCTAAAT